AGAGTTGCTTAACAAAGTTCTAGCAACAGGTAGAATCAGGAGGGCTCAAACATATTTTATATATTAGTTTTTACATCCTAACGTGGGCTGAGGAATCTTTGTTTCACCATTTACTAGCTGTGTGGCCGTGGGAAATCACTTATTCTCTCTGACCTTCAGTTTCCACATCTGGAAAGTGAGGAATTGACAATGGATGCCTTTAGGGCAGATGGAAAGGGGGACTCCTTGGGCCCAGGGCCCAGGGCTGCTTCCCTGGCTGTCTTCAATTCCTTTTCTGTTCCTCCTCTGTCCTTCAACTTCTTCTCTTTGCATCCTTTTTTTTTTTCACAGTTCCTTGTTTTATTATTGGTAAAAATGCTCAGCTCACCTAAATTTTACCAAAAGACATTTACTGGGTCTCCACTAGGGTCAGGAATTGTGCTGGGTATTGAACACAATCAATAGCTTATTTCAGTTCCTATGGATCCAACTGTATCCTTTTTTAGATAAAATTTGCTGAGCATTTACTATGGCTCAACCATTCTAAATGCTTTACATGTGTAACTCATTAAATCCTCCTAATAACACATTGAAGGAGTGACTTATAATTCCCATCACACAGCAGAGGAAACTGAGGCACAGAGAGGCTGGGTTACTTGCCAAATATGACACAACTTATAAATGATGGAGCTGGGACTCAAATCCAGCCGAGTTGGCTCCAAAGCCCACACTCTTACCTGGGAGGCACTGAGGTCTCCCATCCTGTGTTTGCAGGTTAGCCTGAGAAAGTCAGATTGAAGCGAGGGTGGGGATGGGGCGAAAAGCATCATATACCACAGGGGCTCAGGTAACTCCTGAGCACCATCTATGCCCACATCATGCTGTGTGGGAATACAAAGATGTATACGAACAACGCTCCACCCCCAGGAAAATTAGATTGTAAGTCTAGCAAAGAGCATAAGTATGTGATGACATAAAGCAGGGAAGGTGTGGTAAGTGCTAAAGTGCTGATAGAAAGTCCTACGAACTTCACAGAGAGATCAGTTCTGGTGTGGTTACTGAGAAACCCTTTCTAATGGTGCAGCCTACCTCCAGTGCCTGAAAGAAGGGTCAGGGTTCAGTAGATGGAGGAGAGGCAAAAGCAAGAATGTTCCTGGCAGAGGAAAAGACAGGAGCTCTGGAATGAAGGTGAGACAGGATGAGGCCTTTCTCCCAAAGACAGAGGGCCCAAACCCCAGCCCAGACCCTTGCATGCAAATTTCCTATTTTGCGGCCACAGAGCAGAGGCAGAGCGTCTGAGCGCTTTCAGCATGGCGAGTCTGAGTGGGGAGACAGTGGGAGCATCTTGGGCTCCTTCAGCAGGGCATGGGCACTCTGGGGTGTGAGGATCCAGGGGCTGTTAGTAGGGGTGAAGAGCCAGAAAGAAAAGAAGCCAGGAAAAGAGTTGTCTTAGAGGAGCAGTGATAAGGACAAGGACAAACCAGAGAAACTGATAAAGTCTGAAGGCAATGATTTCAAATGGGGTGGCTCAAATATTTATAAAGAGAAATAGTGGTTTGAGGGTCCCTGCTGGACACCCCATTCCCAATCTGCTTTGACATCGACACTATGACAAAGAGAATGGGTTAATTTGAAAAAGGGTGGGATATAAAGAGACAGGCAGAGAGCACGGGCAGAACCCTGAGGACTGGCCACCCTCATTGGGCAGAAGGGGGAAAGGGGCCACCCTGGGCAGGAAGAGGAGAGGAGGGGCAGGCGGACAGATATGTCAGAAGATCTGGGAGGAAGGGACTTGAGAATGGTGAGGACTCACGAGTACAAACAGCACTAACAGCGGTGTCTAGAAAGATGAAAAGAAGTTATTGGCTTTAGTATCTAGGAGACAACCAGTGTTCTTTAAGGGGCTGTTCCAGTAAAGCAGACCTGGGCTGGTGAGCCCTGGTGAGGGTGGCAGACTCAGGGGCTGGCCAAGGAGAGGGAGCTGAGTGTCATCCACATAGAGCCAGAGGGTGTGTCCCATCTTGTGCAGGAGGCACAGAGACAATGAGGGTAGTTTAAAGCAGGTAAAAAAAAAGCCTCAAAGTGATGGCTGGAGAGGGGCAAGGATTGACAAGGATTGTCCTGGAGGCAGGGACGATGTCTGCTGAGGGCTAGAGGTACCACAGAGACAATGAGGGTAGTTTAAAGCAGGTAAAAAAGGCTCAAAGTGATGGCTGAAGAGGGGCAAGGATTGACAAGGATTGTCCTAGGAGGCAGGGGCGATGTCTGCTGAGGGTTAGAGGTAAAGTCTGAGGGATCAGAAAGGCCAAGTAGGTGTGCCCATCCATCCTTTTACAGGGTAACCCACCCATGGTCAATGCTCCACTCCACTTAGCTATTGCCATGGTTTCTTTCTATTTGGAAATATCCAACACTTCCTCATATAGGGTGAGCCTGAGTCTCAGAGACATCATTGAGCTACTAGGCTGTTCTCAGACTTCTAATCTTTTTTTTCTCTCTTTTTTCTCTCAAGTCAGTAATGGGTTTCATGAGATTTGACTAGGATGTCCCACCAAAGCTGGTTGTGGTGAATCAGCTAGAACCTATCCAAGAAGTGAACAGGAATGGCGTGGGACAAGCCCAGATGCTTGGATGTCTTATAGAATCTTTCAGGGCTGGCGGGCTCAGGAGGGCCTCAGGCTTTGTTTAATGCTTCGCTGTCACCGTTTTGAAATTCTTAGTTAATCTGGAACCAGGGTGTTCTGTCCCCTCTCTTGTCTCATGCACCAGACAATGTCCCCCACGCCTGCAGGCCATGCCCCAGGACTGGCTGCACCTGAGGAGTCATCACCCCTGACAGCCCAGGCGGCCAGGGATGTCAGGCCAGTGCCTGCCCTGCTCCCACTGGGAACAGCTGGACTCTCCAATCTGCTGATCTCCCCTTCCTTTTTCCAGAGGAGCAGTCTCCCTGTTCTGGGGAGCTCAGACTCGCACCTCCAGTTTCTGTGAGGGAGCTGGGGCAGCTTTCCCAGGACCTAGCAGTGCTGCCCAGTGGGATATTCAGGAGGCTCTGCTGGTCCCAGCTCTCAACTCCAGGAGTCAGGGAGTGCAGACAGGGACCAGTGTACCTGTTCCCTTTCCCTTTCACAGTGTCGAGCCCAGCCCCTTTGATCGCTGTAGTCAGTCCAGTGCAGCTGACAGGTGCTTGTCTTTCTCTCATGAGGACCCACCACATTCTCCTGGTCTTACCAGGGAGGCAAGCCCTCCATAGGTAGGTCTAGGGACCGGAAGGGCTTCCTGGGGTGGCCTTGCCTGACTCACACCAAGGCTACTGTATTCCCAACACTCTTCACCCTTTCAGCCCGTGTGTGGAGATGACCAATTTCTTCAGCTTTGTTTAGAGTTCAACAGCGCCGCCTACTGGTGCTTGGTTGTGGGTGACCACAGCCAAGAGATAGCAGAGGGTGTTTTTTTTACTACTCTCCGTTGTATTTTGGACCCACCCCTCCGCATTCTTGGAAAGTGAATAAGCGGAAAAGGTCGCCAGAGTGACAGATTCCCATCGCCTCCTCCCAGCTCTCCGCGCCCCGCCACTCCTCAGGGTCGCCCCTCTTCAATGCCCTTTGCCACACAAGTGACATTTATATGCATCTCTGTTTCATTCTGATCTTTCAGCCAAATGGGAAAAAAATCTTTACCAGATCGGAGTAGGATCTGCTTGGAGCCCACAGGGCCTGCCAGAGAGGGCTTCCGTGCACCCCTTTGGGGTTCAAGATGGACGGACTATGGACTATCCCTCTGTGAAGCTGGACAAAAACAGACCACACTGGCAAATGCGCTCCCCAACACACCCGCCCCCATAGGGCTCCTTGGCCTGTCACCGCTTCTGCAGGGTTACGGGACCTCGGAGCCCTGACAGTATCCCTGAGACTGATGAGGTCTGACCTTGGCCGATGGCGCTCAGGACTCCTGTGGTCCCTAGC